AAAACACACTATAAGAGAAAGAAATTCTGTACTGCAGTCTTCATTGTACCACTTAATCTGTATAAATATATTAAATTTCAGAAATAAAGGGCAATTTATAATCTAATCCTGTGGTTTTTAAACTTTTCATAAAAAATAAATGGAATCATTTTGTTTCCAAATGAAGTGATTTCTCAATCTCCAATTCTAAAAAGGTAAAAACACAACTGCACTGCGGAAGTGGAAGCCCTATCTGTTCTAGCTACCCTAACAAGTATTTCTAAAACACACTAGAAATCTGAAGAATACAGACTATTTCAAGAATCTAATTCTGTGCCCTCAAAGAGCAGAAAATTGAAGTTAAGAAGTAGTTAAATGACTTGCTAAAAGTAATAGGTTTTTTTAAAAAGGTCTGAATCAGAAACAGAACTCAAGCTTTCAGATTTCAAATACAGTTTTTGTGATTATCACCCACAACTACTCTTTGTAAACCTCATTTGAAAAATATATATATAGCAGTGAAAAGATCAGAGCTAAGTGGGGATCTTAGAGATGGTCTAGTCCAGTACTTTCCTAATTTTTTAAGGGTGGGGGAAGGATACAGCAGTGGAAACTTCTTCTATATAAAAGAAATACAGTAGAGACTCCACAGCTGAGGAAGAGCTGGGGTCATGTGTGCAAGCTAGAGCTTTGCCTATTCAATGTCCATCACCCTGACCCCTGCACCAGACGCTGAGGCACCACACTGGAGCACAGTTTCATAACGACTGTCTTGGTCAAACTGAGTTTATATATGAGAATATTCAGGTGCAGAAAGGTAAACCCACTTACACAAGGCTCCAAAGGTAGAACAGGGCTCACGTATTTAGCAAAGAACATTTGTAAAAAATAGAAGGATTCCCACCTTCACTCAGAGATGGATGAATTGGTGGTGAAACCAATGGGCCAAATGTCTCTAAATCAAATCATCCAGTTCGTGATTGAGCCTTCAGCAACCAACAGCATTTCTCCAGATGAATGATGTCTGATTCCTCCACTAACAATCAAATCAAACAAGATTATAAAATCTCACTCTTCTCTTCTGGACAGTTACTTCATCCTGATAATGTAACTTCTAAAGATACATTTAAGTTTCCCAGTTAAACTGTTAAAAAAAACTACCTAAAACAAAAACTCTGAAAGACAAATACATTATATCTAAAGTGGCATGAAAATTAAATTCAAATTAACATAAAAGAATGGGAAATGGGAAAAATTTTTGCAATTTCCCATTAAGCAGGCTGTTTAATTCCAACGTGTAAAATGATAAACTGAGACATTTCTTTCTGGCTTCCCACACCACTTTTATCTGTATTCACTTTGGTGATTTTAATCTCTATCTTAGATTTGAAAATTCTTTATCATAGTCTCTCCTGGCTACACAGTTAACACCCTAATAGCAGAATCTATGTTTGATTCATCCTGTCACTATAGTAACC